AGAAGATTTGTTTGAATTTTTTCAAGTCATTCTGTCAAATGATAACTAAAAATCATCTACACAATATTTCATATGTGGTTTTTTTACTTGATAACTAGTGAAGTTGCTTTGTTGACGTCAACTGAAATACTTAACAGTTTGATTTACTTACATTATTCAAACGGAAAAAAATTGAGGAGAGTTCTATTACCAACCAAAAAATGAGCCCATTTGCATGAACAGAAGTAGAGCCATTTAAATTTCTTATTGTCATGTCATTATATGTAAGTCACCCTGTATTTAAATTATGCCTTTTTATCTCAGGAAATATAATAGTAATTATGAAAAGTTACTAAAAATTTCATGAATAAATGACTTCTGACGACAGACTTTAGACGGGGTGGGGCGGGGCGGTGACGGTTTTATTGTTGAATAGGCGGGACGGTGACGGTGCGAAATTTTATCAACGGGACGGGACGGGGCGGTGGCGGTGTGACTTTTTGGCTGGCTCGCTCATCTCTGTTAGAAACTCCATGTAATAAGCTAAAACCTTGGAAATGCTTCATCCATTTCTATCTCGACTTTCTATGAAGTAGAATTTATTTATAATTTACAGTGTACATGAGTGTTTTCAGAATGAAGGCTACATTTGATAGGATCTTAGGTCGCCTTTTAACAAGCTTACCCTTTACAAGTTGCTATACAGGATATCGATTTATGATACATTCGTGACTTATACACGGATCAGTTGGGTTTTTACTCAATGGAGTAAATATTGACCTATAATTTCTTAAATTCATGTCTTAGTTTATGTGACGAACAATAAACAATTAGTAATGATCAGAATGATATTTTCGAGAGCCACATGGTATATAAGTCGCAGTTTTCTTCAATTAAATTTCATTAGGTCATCAATGCTTTATAAGTGGAAAATGAAAATAATTATCTTTATTTGTATCTCCATCATAGTACATACTGTTTTAAACTTGCTGCCCTCAAAAGTGCCACTTAATGAACCGCCTGCAATATCAATTAATGTTAATGTCCCGTGTGTGGTTATTGATAGTCACGATGAAAATAGTCATAATGAAATTCAGCCAACATTAGTTTATACATGTCTTGGCAGGGAGGCTTTCACGAAGCATCAATCATACATATTTGAATCACTAAGACAATCTCGTCTCGTTGGAGGATCATCGTTGCCAATCGTTGTTATAATTAACAGAGTTAGTCAAGAGAATAATACTCGAAATAGGATGCAGCAATTCAATGTTACCACCATTGTCTATGAAGATTTACTTGTTATGAATAATGTCAGTTTCGCATTGAATACTGAGTTTCA